AATCATCTCTGTTTAGACACTACACGGCAGCTCCTCAACATTTCAGCACGTCGAAATTAGGATTGAGTTATACCACCGGCGAGTCGAGTTATCAGTCTGTTTCCAAGGAACGTCCGGAATTGGCGCTTCATATTAATCAAAATCATCAACACCAGTCAGAGCCGCAGTTACAACAGCTGCAAATACAAGTGCAGTTGCAGCAACAGCAACAGCAGCAGCAACAGCAGCATCAGCAGCAACAATCCGCATCAACCTCTCAACAACAACACCAAGGACTACTCAGTCCAGGATTAAGTTTCACTGGTAGTGGTTAGTGTTTATATCGCTTCTTTGTTGTTTCATTCTTCATGAAACAACTTGCATAGACATCACTCTATTCGATATATTTTTCAAGTAAAGAGTTTAAAGCTGTAGTCAGAGAAAAGATATGTATTTTAAGGAATGAAACATCTGAGGAACGAAATACAAATGATGAAATATATTCAATATATTTATGAGATCACATATGAAAAATATAATGAAGCTTTTTTTATTAATTTTCATTGCTTGATAGCTGATAGGAAAAATGTATGATAATATAAATGAAATAAGAAAGGAATAATTTGATAGATTTAAAGATATAATTTTAAAAATGAGTGATAAATCTACAATATCTTTTTAAGAAATATATAAATAATAATATTAGTTTATTCCTAGTATTAATTAGTTAGTTTAACTTAATACTAGTTTACTGAAGATATTAAAGATATTCTTAATAAAGTAATATTAATTAAATTAAACTGACATAGGAATAAACTAATATCTATATTATTACATTTTTTATAAATCAAAAATGTAAGACAGACACGTATATTTTGAGAGTGTATCTTCCTCTATAAAGAACGAAAAAATTTATGTTTTCCATCTGTGGTCTTCATGCATTCAAAAGTTCAGGTGCCACTATAAGTTATGTTGCTGTTATAAGTACTACAATATATTCAAGAATGAAATTAAACGTTTGATCACGTTGATTTTAGGTCTGGAACTAGATTCAGGTAGCAGTGTAGGTGGAAGTTTACCAAGCCCGGGAGCAGCGAGCTGTTCCTTGGACGCAGCATCGACCAGCACATCACCGTCCTGTGCTCTGATGGAGCATGCACCAAGTCCGGTAGCTACGGTTTCTTCCGCGTCGGTGAATACCGTGCAACCGACTGGACCAGTTGGAGAACCACCACTGTCGCAACGGGTCGGTGTACTGCAGCAAAGGGTAAGCACCCGAGATTGATCCAGGCAAAAGCATACTTTTTATTTATGAACTTGAACACGGCTAAGATAATCTGTATGGCACTGTTGCTCGATCCCGAAAGCTCCCTCTTCTTTCCTTCCTTTTGCTTTTTCTTAAGCTCTTTAGCTTTCTTCATTTCTTCACATTTGGCGAACAAACAAATGACAGAGCGATGTAAGTCGTCGTCGTATAACAATTCCTTACGAAAGATCTATTTCAGCTTTCTCTGCTTGATATATACCAGAATGCTTGAACATTGCCATATAGATAACCAAGATATCTCAGATGATCATTATTCGTAAAATCATTATCGCTGTTCCATTCAAACGCAACGAAACTCGCGCGATTATGCAATGCCAATCAAATTGAGTGCTTCATCCGTCATCGATTAAACAGCAAAAGCAGTGTTAATAAGTGGAATTTAATTTAACACGCGGTTTTCTTTTAGCTGGGACTGCCTGGTGATTGCCAGTTGGAGTTCGTAAACGGCGGCCACGGAATTAAAAATCCTTTGGCGATCGAGGGTCAGAGACAGGCTGCGGCCAATCGCGAGGAGGAGAGGGCGGCTCGACCTCCACCTGGCAAGGTAAACGTCATTCTTTGATGCTTTTCCTCACCATATACCGCATGTTTTATTAAACTGCCCGGAGATTTGCATACCTCCAGTTGTAGATTTAGTGCTTTGCACGCCTAGATCCCAGTTTCTGATTGCTATTCCAGTTTTGTCATTGTTATTGCATATTTGATGCAGTTCTACATACTTGTTAACGCGCCAAGGAATATCTCCAGAGGACATTTAAAAAGTGGAGGAAAAAAAATTCTTCTTGGTTTTCAGGATGACGATCCGAACCGTTTCACGTGTCACGTGTGTAGCAAGAATTTTAGCTTGCAACGACTGTTGAATCGCCACATGAAATGTCACAGCGACGTGAAACGTTATTTATGCACGTTTTGCGGCAAAGGTTTTAACGATACGTTCGACCTGAAGAGGCACACCAGGACGCACACCGGCGTTCGACCCTATAAATGTAATCTTTGTGAAAAGAGTTTCACTCAGAGGTGCTCTTTGGAAAGTCACTGCCTTAAGGTCCATGGTGTTCAACATCAATATGCGTATAAGGAACGTCGTACAAAGGTAAGGAAAAATGAAAACGCAGTCAATCATGTACAACAATCATGTCCAGTCATTTCTGAATCGCAATATCTCTTATAGACACTTCTATTTAATATTTAAAGAATGTTAAGAATGAATTTAATTAAGATCCAAGTAATAATTTCTAATACACAGTGAGAACATCAAAATCATTTATAACGAGAGTTATCAGACACGTAAATTGCTGATAATATTTATCGAACTCGTAGCCAACTTGCAAATACATAAGACTGCAGCTATAGATGAAAATTAATCAATGCCTTTTATTTCTGTTCGTTTCATTCAGGTATATGTATGCGAAGAATGCGGTCATACAACTCAGGAGCCAGAGGTGCATTACCTTCACTTGAAAGATAAGCACCCATACAGCCCAGCTTTGCTGAAGTTCTATGATAAGCGACATTTCAAGTTCACCAACAGCAATTTTGCCAACATGTTGCTCCAGGTGCGCACATAGACTCCGATTAGAGTAAGAAGTAGAGTGTTTAAAATGTCGTCATATAAGTAACAGAAAAAAAAAAATAAAATAAAATATATGAAAAGTAATAAGAGATAATGCAATCGATGAAAAATTCGAAATGTATGTTTCTCCGTTCCTTGACAGACACGAAAAAAGTAAAGGAAATTACGAAGCTAGATCAATAGGGAGGGAGGGAGGGGGCGGGGAAAGGGGGAGAAACGTAAAGTGACAAGGAAAAAAGAAATCTGATATTCGAACAAAAAGAATAGCAGAAGAAAGACACGAAATTGTAACTGTTCAGGGTGGCTTATTGCAACGGGACTCACGGAATACGGACAGCTGCGTAAAGTCAGCTTCGAAAAGCCTCGAAGCACCTCTTCAACGTGCCACAACGTTGCTGCATCTGGGTCGAACTTCCAGTTTCTGATGAGCAATCGCAAAGGCATCATGTAAGAGGATAAATAGAAGAAAGGAAGAAGGTGAGAAGAAAACGAAGAACGGGAAAGGTTGACTTCGATCTTTTAGCTACTTGACTGGAACGCCATCGAACGCATCCCGTAGTACGAATCGTCGCGCGAATAGTACCTGCAGATGGCTCCCTTTAATCAATGATACACGACGGTATCGAGGGCCGACAACGATCGGATCTACTGTGAGATTATTATTTCTGTGTAATGATAACTTAAATTACAAAAGACGAGAAAATTACGAACACCCGAAGACTCGGATCGAACGTTTCAGGAATGACGATCATTTCTTCTTTTCTTGGCGAGAGATGGGATTAATGTGATATTTTTTTTCGAATGACCCTTTCTTTTTTTTTTTTTTTTCCTTCCAGCGATGTATGGCAAGTTACGTTGCTTTCCGACTCAGAGGGTAAGAAATTACGCAGAAATATTTCTCAGATTTTTCGTCACACCGAGATAACAATACATATTTCGGTATTTCGGAGAGAAACGAATACAAAAAGGAATTGTTAATTTCTTTCTTTCTTTTAATTAATAGATGCCTATCGGTACGCACTTTGGGAAATCTGTGATATAGTAAAACATGATTTTACTCACTCCTCCGTGTACAAGATTTCGCTTCTCGCACTTTGGTTCTTTCGTGGGGTACGCACCGATATATTGGGATAAGATTTATACACGACACAGGTATGACGTGTGTGCGTGTGTGCGCACGCGTGTATATATGAAATATATATATGAAATACACCCACGCACCCATACCCACACACACCCACTCATCCCCCGCCATATATATATATATATATATATA